AACAAAATAAAACAGAGAATAAAAGGAAGTTAAAAATAAGGGAGCCACCTCACTAATTCCCTCATCCCCAATGTGGAAGTGTGTCATGGCTCAAACAAAGGAGATTTCAGAGGTCTTGTTTTAGGATTTGTCTGGAGAACAGATAATGTTTTAAGTCATATTTAGGTCAGGTGGTAAGATGTTCCAGAGCTCAGGCACTGTAACTGAAATGGCATGTCCATGGGTCCTGCTAAATGGTATTCTTTAATTAATGGGACCTGAAGCATGCCCCTCTTGCTGGATCTGATAGTCCAGGTAGAGACCACCAGAGAAAGGTGGTCCTTCAAGTATCCTGGCCTGTGCAATGAAGACCTTTATAAGCGACAACCAGCACCTTGAATTATGCCTGTAAGTTTATTGGGAGTCAGTGTAGTGTAGTTCATGAAGCAAACGTATAATACAAACAAATTGAGAAATACCTATAATTGCCCACACCACTGCATTCTGGACCAGCTGCAGGTTCTGGATGCTCTTCAAGGGCAGCCTCATATAGAGTGTGTTGCAGTAGTCAATTCGAGAGGCAACCAGAACATGACTAACCATGAGCAGTGCGTCCTAGTCCAGGAAAGGGAGCAACTGGTACACAACACAAAGCTGTGCAAAAGCCCCCTATGGCCATGACTGCTACCTGCTCCTCAAATAGCTCTATTATTACTGTATCCATTCCTTCTTTCAAGTAGAGACAGAATCTGAATTTAGATTGGGCAGACTGAATCGGCACATTTCCATAACTTGGAAGTCTCAACAATTCTGGCTTTTCATTTTGTGTTAATACAGCCATTGTACTAAATGTACAATGTACATTTTGCATGTAATTTGTGATTATAAACGTTTGAAGATAATTTCAATAATAAATAAACTATAGTGGATCCTGGACAAGCACAAAACAAATGCAAGTAGATTTAGTATAGACTGCATTAAAAAGTTACCCCTGTTTCTTTACTAGAATTAACCATTATGCTAATTAGTGTTGGAAGCCATTTGTAATTATGGGCCAAAAGCAATACCTGCCAAAGATCAAATGATGGTTAACATTCACATGGGAACAAAGGAGAAATTCATGCAAAAGAAACAGAGTGGAATATTTAAATTCAAAGCACAGTATCAGCTAGGTCATATTCCACTACACCCTTGTTGCAAATACAAGAAAACAGGAGAAGAGAAGGGAATGTGGAAGGAATGTTGCACAGCCTGTTCCCAACCTATAAGAAATAGTTACAAAACACTAGTCCTAGTCCTCTCCTGAGGTCTTCCACTAGGCTTAACATTATCCCTACAAAATGTGCAAGCTGATGCAACTCCTTAAATATGCAGAAAATGGATGAAAAATCCTGCCTCCTCTTCTTTCAGAGATGCTACAATACAACTTTCCAGTTCAGGAAATGAAAAAAGAAGTAGTACTTCCTGATCATAAAAGTTACCGCCTCCTGCTTTATCATCCAGCCACGTGTGCATTTTTGTGCAGAACTTTTTCTGATTCATGCATATTGAGTCCTTCAATATATACCCATGCAAATTTTGAAATATTTCAAGACAGTATAATCTTCGAAAAGAACTCTAAATTATTTTAAATTACTGATATATCAAATAAGTACATTTGCTGTACATGAAAACATCACTTATTTTTGCAGCCTCAAATTTCAGCCTGCAGAGTTCATTGGGCACTATCTGGATTGTCAGCTCAAAGATTCAACTAGTTG